TAAAATTGTGTATAATTGCTGTCCAAATACACAATTACATATGGCTATTTTAGAGGGTGTGACGGATAGACGGACAAACCAACCGAGGTCACAGAATTTTATTTATAGATTTGTGCGAGTTGAAGAGTTGAAAAAATAAAAAAAATAATAATTTCGTTTATTGTAAATGGGCTACGAATGGAAGCTCTAAAACAGGATAAAATTATTGGTAAATTGTTATTATTAAACATTCTGCTAACGACTTCTTGCCACATGAGGCAGGACACGACTGCGGGCAGAGCGTAAAAGTTTGTCTTCTTCCATAAACCAAATTTCTGAGTAGGAAATCGAAAGCGAGGCACGGTTTCATTTTCGTATTTTGATGTCGCAGTTTCTTTGGAATTCAGATTACGGCAGAAAGAATCGAAAAGCATCGCCACCCACCAATTCTTTAATCTATGTCGGAGAAAATCGGATTATGAAAGGATTATCGCAAGATTTGCTTCTGCCAAGTTTTAAAACCCAACCGCTGAACATGCAGACATCTTGAAAGGTAGAGAGATAACTGGGAACGGTAAAGAAATTATATAAACAAAAGGTCATTCAATATATATATATATATATATATATATATATATATATATCTGACTAAGAGATAGATAGGTAGACAGATATGGACAGAATGAGATAGATAGATAGATAGATAGAAAGATATCGCTTTTTCTTAATCATATATATATATATATATATATATATATGACTAAGAAAAAAGATAGATAGATAATGAACATAATGAGATAGATAGATAGATAGATAGATAGATAGAGATAGAGATGCATATCCTTGCTTGAACCGTCTTCTAATGCTCTGGAGTGAGCGGTTTGGGGATAGTAGTCGTAGCTGGGGGTGGAGGCACAGTCTTATGGGTAAAAGAGAAACTCGGAGAAGTTCAACCACGGAATTTGTGATCGAGCGGCGCTATATCGAGTCTAATTCGCTACCTCTTCGTCACCGAGGCCCGTCGGTACGTTCTTATAGACTCAATGAATTACTTAATTATATATATATATATATATATATATATATATATATATATATATATATATATATATATATATATATATGTGATGCCCACAAAAATGGACGTACAATGACATGCAGCAATTTTTTATTTACAAACCTGCACCATTGGCTATTCATTTCAACTCTTGATGAACAGGAACGTGCATACTGAGCTCGTAGAATCTGCACCAGCGGGGGTAACTCACTTTCTCACGGCAAGAGAGACGACTTCGATGTCAAGGAAATGTTGTCCCCTTCGTCCATATTTCATCATCCTGACCAATTGAATGGCGAAAGTTGCCAAAAACGCTTCTATGGTGGGTGTCCTAGGCGTCAGCGTTCTTAATGTCGATACCTCCTCTCCTGAATCTTAGCAAATCTGTCCATTCAGCAACTCGTGGTAACTGTAGATATTCATTCGTCTATTAGGCAAGAACCCCTTATTCACAGAACTTCATTTCATTGCAAACGCTCTGGTTGGAATTCGTTTCCCGTTTTCTTGGAGCGAAATCCTGAATCTTCCCATCAAGAATTGTTTCACCGATATTTATTCACGGGTGAAAGCCTGTATCGGTACTTTCTTGCCAACACGGAAATACCAAGTGAAACTGCAACATTCTCGTTGGTTCATGTGGCCTGTTCAGCCGCTATAGCCCACAGGAATCACTTCTTCGTAATAGTTCCGATCATAACAGATGTCTCAGTGTGTCCGCTCATAATAATTATAAGCCTGACTTCAACAAGGCTAAATCGCTATTTGCTGATAGAATGAGACACTGTTGCTTCTCACAAGTTTGGTTCTGGTGAATACCGGCGTCTCTGTAAGAGTGTGTGAAACAAGGGTAAATCCTCAATCTCTCCTCTCTTTAATTATTTTGAAGTTCTGTCTTTTATTGCTGATAAATCAGAATTATCGGCGCGTAAATACTCTTCCAATTCCACTCTTGACTCATTTGGAATAACTTGCTTGATCCCCGCCCAGAACCGTGATATGCATATAACCCCACCCATCCTTTATGCTGTAATCTATTTACTCAATACCCACAAAGCATGTGGATTTGATGGCATCCCTGCAATATTTTTTAAGAAATGTGCTCCTGAACTGCATTCTTTTCGCTCTAAACTCTACAACAAATGTCTTGCTGCTTCTTGCTTTCCACATTGTTAGATATCCTCTTCAGTAGTTCCTGTATTTAAGAATGGTAAGCTTTCTGATTCCTTGAATTATTGTCATATTACCATTCTACCTATTTCTGGTAATGTACGAGACTAATCGTCTTTAAATTGCTTAAGCATCGCAAGGCCTTCTTTCACACAAACAATACAGATGGAACAATTATCAATGTGTTATCTCTGAAAGAATCTGTCAAACTTTAGATATATACGGTGAGGCTGGGGCTGTGGCTTTAGATATCCCGATGGTGTTTGGCAGAGTTTAACACTCTGGTCTTCTTCACAAGTTTAATGGCTATGGTGTCTTTGTTTGATTTTTCCATTTGATCCAATATTTCTTAACAAATTGTGTAATAAAAAGACTATTGATCAATCACCCTTATAGTTTCTTATCACATTAATTCGGGGTTTTCTTCAGGGCTCTATCCTTGGACCTACATTGATCTTTATTTTCGCCAACGACCTTTCCGATATAAACCAGCACCGAACTACATATTTATGCTGATGACATTGCTGTTCATTCGTGATTTAATAGAAAGCCCGATAAAGTAATATTGGCAGCTGATCTCGAAGTGACATTCAATCAGTTGTTAGCAAGGAAAATAGTCATGACATTGATACACAAGCATTTCCGTCATCGAGCACATTTCAGAAGATATTCAATAGAAACACAGTAAGAATCAGCTATAGTTGCACCGAAAACATGACACAAATAATGAAAACACACAACAGAAAACTAACCAACAAAAAGAAAAAAATAGACATTATCTGTACTGAGAAAACGTGATGTAATCGGGTTAAAATGGAACGTGAAAAAGTAGACCAGAAACATGTGCCTATTGCCCAACAACATTTGGATCGAAAAATTTGCTAATAGGAATATATACTCGACAAACACGGTGGATAAATAAGTAAAGATTTATTGTACAATAAGAAATAAAGTAACAGTTATGAGCACGATCGTCGCAAGTCAATCCAGTAGTGGGTGCTACTAGATCGGTAGTTCTCGCGTAAGTCTGAGTCAACAGATCCCAGCTAGACAATATTTACCAGCCTCCCCACATAGAATGATGTGGCACAAGGCCGAGTTTAATGTGGGGCAATCCGAGCCCGTAGGCGCTGCCAAAATTTCCCCGTAACCCCGCATAAACGGGTTCGGGTCTGTGTACCTCCCCGGACCAGACCCTGCCCTTCGGCATAGCCTCGTCCGGCTTCCTCTTTGCCCGAAGACATAGAGCTCGACAGCAGCCAAGATCTGAATAACAGATCCCAGCAAATATATTTAGTTACCCCCCCACCCACGAGGGTTGCATGTGGCATAAGGCCAGTTTAACGTGGGTTCTTCGAGCCTGTAGACTCGGCCAAAAATATTCCCTTTTGAACCCGTATAAACCGGTTCAGATGCAGTCTACATCCCCGAACGAGACTCTGCCCTTCGGTGGAGCCTCGTCCGGGTACTTCTCTTCCCGAAGGGTGAGAGTTCGACTGCTTAGCTGGAATAGATCCCAGCTAGTATATTTAGCAACCCCCCACGAGTGTTGCATGTGGCACAAGGCCGGTTTAACGTAGGTTCTCCGAGCCCGTAGGCTCGGCCAAAAATATTCATTTTGGAACCCGTATAAACGGGTTCAGGGTCAGTCTACCTCCCCGAACGAGACTCTGCCCTTCGGTGGAGCCTCGTCCGGGTTCCTCTCTGCCCAAGGCAGGGAGTTCGACTGTTTAGCTGGGACAGAGTACAGCGTGACTCCGCAGTCCGTTGACTTACAGATACTTATAGGTAGTTACTACCTATAGTGTAATTACTCATGTGGGTGTAAGGTTATTCCATTACATCAAAAATGTCGACCGGTATTATTAATTATAATATTTTAGGCAACACTAATTAAATAAACAGCTTCTAATACACAATTTTAAATCAGCACCACGCAAGCGCGAAAAATATAACAGTCAGAAAATATTCAGAACCTGAAAGAAAGCAAGACTGCATGAAACTCCGAGTCATGCTACCGACGTTCGATATTATGCATATTCACGAATATATACTTATAGCTCTGTCTCATAACATTGAGCACTGTATTTATAACACTTGAGGAAGAAATATATGTATACGTATGTGCAAGTATATATTTATCATACCTATATATATATATATATATATATATATAGTCAAAAGTCAACAATGCTGGTGTGACGAATAGACGGCTTGGCGTCCTTCAGGCGGCTAAAACGGCTATATATATATATATATATATATATATATATATATATATATATATATATATATATATATAACATTCGTCCCACACTCTCATACATACACTCTCACTAAATTTTATTTTTTATTCCTGGAGTTGTTTATTCTCTTTTCTTTTTGAATTTGTAGGTCTGATGAATTGATCGTATTTACGATTCCAATGGAATAAATTATGACCATGGAATATTAGTGTTTAAGCCTTTTTATTATATATATATATATATATATATATATATGTGTGTGTGTGTGTGTGTGTGTGTGTGTGTGTGTGTGTGTGTGTGTTTGTGTATCTAAAGACAGTCATATATAAATTCATAAATACGAATAACATTTGTAATTAATTTCACCCACACACACACGCATATATATATATATATATATATATATATATATATATATATATATATATATATAGAGAGAGAGAGAGAGACGTTGGGGTGGGGGCAGTCAGAGAGAACTTGCCCATTAAGTAAGAACATAAATAAGTAAAATTACATTTCCCCATACATTCATCTTTGTATATAAATTGACTTCACTGTAGGTATGTCTTCTTAATAGAAATCTGCTGGTAAGCTACAAACCGGCAAAGTGCATTCAAGTCCGAACAGGAAATAAAGGTCATTTGGCTGTAGATAAAAACACTTTCAATGGCGAGAAATATTGACCACGTGACTTTGATAGCGGGCAGGATTGCCCGGATGCTGGCAAAATGATGTTCTTTTAACTTTTTATTGGCTGTAATAACAGAGAAGATAAAAAGAGTAGGAATTGCCGAGAGAGGAAAAAGAGAATCGAAAAGAAAAGGAGAAAGAAAATATGAGATGGGAGGGGATTGTGAGAAAAAAGAGACAAAGAAAGAGAGGAATAAAAGAGAGAGGAGACAGAGCAAAGGATAGCAGAGAAAGAATAGGGAAGAGAGAGAGAGGGGGGGAACGTAGTAAAGGAAAAAGAAATCAAACAAGAAAGAGAATAAGAAAGAGAGAATGGATGAGAGAGGAAGAGAAAATGAGAAAGAAAAGGAGAAAGAAAAGGAGAAAGAAAATGTGTGGAAAAGAGGGGGAATACAAAGAAAAACGAGATAAAGAAAGAAAGGAAGAAAAAGAGAAGAGAGCAAAGGACGCAGAGAAAGAATAGGGAAGAGAGAGAGAGAGGGGGGAACGTAGTAAAGGAAAAAGAAATCAAGTAAGAAAGAGAATAAGAAAAAGAGAATGGACGAGAAAGAAACGGAGAGTGAAAAAAAAGGGACTATGTAAAAGAATGCGAGAGATAAAGAAAGGAGTGATCAGAAAAATGTCAAATTTAAGGGAGATTGTCGGGAAAATGCGATACATCACTACAGAGAGATCTAGAAAGAGAAAGAGTGAGAGAGAGAGAGAATGAATTTAAGGATAATAGAGGGGGAAACAGAAGGAAAGAGAAATGTAGAAACGATGAAAGAAAATACAAAGAAGAGTAAAGAGGGGGTGAAAGAGATAAAAAAAGAAAGGAAAGTATTGGGAAAGAGGAAACGAGAAAGAGAGTAAAAGCGAAGGAGAAAGTGGGAGAAAAAATATGATTAAGCGAAAAAAGAGAGAAAGGGAGTGTAAAAGGAAATAGAAAATATAGATTTGGGAGAGAGAGAGAGAGAGAGAGAGAGAGAGAGAGAAGAGACAAGACAAAAAAGAGAAAAATATATAAAAAAAGGGAGAAGGAAAGGATGAAAGATAGATACAAAATTAGAAGTAAGGAAAAGACTTGAGAAATATATAGAAGAGAGAGAGAACGAACAAGAAAGAAAGAAAGAAAAAAGAGGGAGGGAGGAGGGAGAAAATGAGTGAGGGAAAAGAGAAAGTGTGCAATAGATCGAGGGTAGGAAAGAGGACCAAAAAATCTATTTTTGATAAGTGTAAGTCGTAAGGAGAGCAGCAGATTGTGTTGTTCATTTAAATGCTTTTTACAGAGCAATTAAGTGATAAGAAGTGGATGGCGGATAATTGAAATGCAGTAGAAATGAATCAGGAAGAGAAATGATAAAAAAAGAAGGAAAAAATAATGAAGGAAGAGAATCGATAGGAAAAATGAGAACGAAAAAAATATATAGAAACGGAAAAGAGAAGAAAAAAAAACGAAAGAAAAGGAAAAATCAAGCCACCTCAAATATCCAACACCTTCCTCAGTATCTTCACAGACCCCAGCACACCGTTTTCGAGACAACCTCTTTTTGATTTTAATATGGCCCCAGGTATACTGCCTATTATGCGTAGCATCTTAACTTTCATGATCTATAATTTTCATAAATATCAGTGAGTTGTTTGAACAAGAATCTATGGATCCCATCGTGAACAGGGACTCTCCAATTATTATTAGTCTTTTTGTACAGCTTAAAGGAATTTATTAGCTGGTTGTGCACTTATTGGATACTAGCAGCATGGCTCTGCGTTGCCCGTGCTTGATTCAAAAATCGTACGATTCATACAGCAATCGCTATCACTTGACTTAAAATATTTTTGCCCTTCCTTGCCTTTAAAGGAGTGCCCTTTGCCGTGCTGATGTTGCTACATGCCTTACTTCTTGCCTATCTCACACTGCGAATTTTTTCTAAGCTCTATACTAAACATTAAATCTGTTACGAAAAAAAGAACTAAACAAAATGAACACAAAACAATCAGCTTTAAAAAAGGACTCGTAACTGGAAAAACCGAATGAAAAAAGAATGTTAACAACAAATACATTTTCACACCCAACCCAGTTCTGCGAAATCAGAATCAACGTTGTTTAAGCAAGCGAATGAGCCAATTGGAGTAAAATGCCATGCAGATTTAAATTTTTCCCACTTGTGACGAATGCAGCTATCTATTTTTTTTTGCATGCTAGCATGCTAGTTAACATTCGTGTTAGTCAGCTGTTGGTTCTCACGCTGGCCAATAGAATCTTCCTGCCTATTCGTGGCAGCCAGCTATAGGCTCTCACTCTGACCAGTACAAAATGGCCGCAAACTACATGAAAACTGCTGTAGAAGCATGAAAAAATCGATCATTTCTACTATCGATGGGAGTTGGGAAATGCAAGGTCGGTCTTGGCCTTCCCGCTAACTTGGAGCATGTGCATGTAAATTTTGATGCAAATCCGTCGAAAACTGCGGTCGTGCATTCGTTACACACACACACACACACACACACACACACACACACACACACACACACACACACACACACACACACACACATCCTACCTTTTATAGATAGAGATCAAAATACACCCCGCAGTGCGAGGGAGACTCTTCCGGTTTTTTGTACTGCATCAAACAAGAATAGCTTTGGCAACAAATAAAAATTCACAGGTAAATCTGCTTTCAACCAGTGGGAAAAGATATCTGACATTGTTCCTGATTCTTCGATTACAATAGGAACAATTACTATCTTATTTACATTATTCGGACTATTGTTCTCATCTTCGTTGCCATATTTATCACAACGTTTCGGCCGTTCTACGCTCCGGACTTTTTCAGGTGGTTGAAATGTCGAACTGAACCCTTTATTTCGCTCACTGGGGTAGACTGTTCTAGTTCCACGGCCATGTCATCGGATGTCAGTTATCAGTTGTCTCCAGTTATTCCCTCTCCAGTTCTCCACCGCTTTAACCGGGTATTGAACTCACAACCCTTTGGTTGTCACTGATCTAACCAACGCCTTTATCCACTGTGCCATGTGTTATTAAGGAGTTGTGAGTTCAATACCTGGTTAAGGCAGGGGAGAACTTGGAGAGGTGAATTAACAGGAGATAACTGATAACTGACATCCATTAGACATGGAAATAAAAAAGGTTCACTTCGACATTCCAACCATCTGAAGAAGGCCGGAGCATACAACAGCCTAAACCTTGTGATAATACTTTTAAGTAGAATCACTCCAACTAAGGCAGCAAAGCCACTAAGACACAAGGGGTTACACGGTGTGGTAAAATTAGGAACAGAAACAACAGTGATGGGCAGAACGAGAAGAGAGTAATCAGTTGAACAGTAGATAGCAATTGACATTGCATTAAAAGTTTTGAAGATTAAAGTTGGCTTGAAAACATGGAGCCAGAAGGGAGTTCCACAAGTGAGAAGTGCGAGAGAAGAAACAGTTAGCATAGAATTTACGGCTACATCTAGCCACTTCGAGTGTAAATTGATGAGATCTAGATGCCAGTCTAGTACTGCACTTAAATTCATGAAGTCTAGGTACCATAGTGAAGGGCTCATTTAAACATTTACCATGAAAGTATTTATAGAAAAGACATAGAGAGGCAACCTTATGGCAGGGGGAAAGTGACTGGAGCTGAGCTGCCAGATCAGGACCAATAATATTGCAGATTCTTCTTTGGATCTTATCAAGGAGGTCAAGGTAAATAGCTGGGGCACTGGACCAGATGTGGCAGCAATAGTCTAAGCATGGACGAATGGTAAACTTATAGATATGTAAGATAGATTCTGGAGAGAAAAATTGTCTCGCCCGACCAACGTGAACCGACTTTCTATACAGCTGACCTAGCAATGGATTCAATATAGTCTTTCCACTTGTATCAACTTTTCATTATTATTATTATTATTATTATTATAGTAGTAGTAGTAGTAGTAGTAGTTGTATTTTTACTATACCTTTTCCTTTCTGTTTAGTGCCGTCCCTTACTAGCTTATACTTCGAAACCTGTGGCAAAGCAAATTACTATACATATGTACACTGCTCAAATGCTGTTGCTAATTTATCATTAACATACGATGTTCATATTTTCATTGCATTGCTAATATGATGAGTAGTTCTGCACTATTTATTTTCAAATTCTTGTAAATGGGTTACCAGAGATATTATTAATATATTTTATCTGTTGCTTTTCCGATTGTACTCAGGGCACTGATCACGGGTGGCTTCTTGACATATTCCATTGATTATTTTTGTAAAACCCCAAAACCTAAGATCACGCCTATATTACATAGATAAAGCTCTTCTTCATCTTCTTCTTCTTCTTCTTCTTCTTCTTCTTTTTCTTCTTCTTCTTCTTCTTCTTCTTGCATTTGTTGTGTTTTGCTTTGTGTAGTAAGAGTTGGCCGTAAGTCTGTTTGTATAAAAAGATACACACAGATAAAATGCCATGAAGAGGAAGAGAAAATTGCGTCATGAAGACAAAATATGAGAAGAGTATTATTTTGTTATCTCACATTGGCATAGTCAATGGAAATTCTGTTCCTTGAAAGAATTCTGTTTCTTGAAAGAATTCTGTTTTGAGGGAATTCTGTTTCTTGAAGAAATTCTCTTTCTTGAAGGTATACAGTTTCTGGAAAGAATTCTTTTTTTTTTTTTTTGAGGGAATTCTTTTTCTTGGGGGAATTCTTTTTCTTGAAAGAATTCTGTTTCTGGAGGGAATTCTGTTTCTTGAAAAAATTCTGTTTCTTGAGAGAATTCTGTTTCTTGAAGAAATTTTGTTTCTTGAAGGTATACAGTTTCTTGAGGGAATTCTTTTTCTTGAAAGAATTCTGTTTCTTGAGGGAATTTTCTTGAGGGAATTTTTTCTGAAAGAATTCTGTTTCTTGAAAGAATTCTGTTTCTTGAAAGAATTCTGTTCCTTGAAAGAATTCTGTTTCTTGAAATTCTGTTTCTTGAGGGAATTCTTTTTCTTGAAAGAATTCTGTTTCTTGAGGAATTCTGTTTCTTGAGGGAATTCTTTTTTCTTGAAAGAATTCTGTTTCTTGAGGGAATTCTGTTTCTTGAGGGAATTCTGTTTCCTTGAAAGAATTCTGTTTCTTGAGGGAATTTGTTTCTTGGGGAATTCTGTTTCTTCTGTTTCTTGAGGGAATTTTCTTTGAAAGAATTCTGTTTCTTGTAGGAATTCTGTTTCTTGAGGGAATTCTGTTTCTTGAAAGAATTCTGTTTCTTGAGGGAATTCTGTTACTTGAGGGAATTCTGTTTCTTGAGGGAATTCTTTTTCTTGAAAGAATTCTGTTTCTTGTAGGAATTCTGTTTCTTGAAATTCTGTTTTCTTGAAAGAATTCTGTTTCTTGAGGGAATTCTGTTTCTTGAGGGAATTCTTTTTCTTGAAAGAATTCTGTTTCTTGAAAGAATTCTGTTTCTTGAGGGAATTCTGTTCCTTGAAAGAATTCTGTTTCTTGAGGGAATTCTGTTTCTTGAGGGAATTCTTTTTCTTGAAAGAATTCTGTTTCTTGTAGGAATTCTGTTTCTTGAGGGAATTCTGTTTCTTGAAAGAATTCTGTTTCTTGAGGGAATTCTGTTTCTTGAGGGAATTCTGTTTCTTGAAAGAATTCTGTTTCTTGAAGTAATTCTGTTTCTTGAGGAAATTCTGTTTCTTGAAAGAATTCTGTTTCTTGAGGGAATTCTGTTTTTTGTGGGAATTCTGTTTCTTGAGGGAATTCTTTTTCTTGAAAGAATTCTGTTTCTTGTAGGAATTCTGTTTCTTGAAAGAATTCTGTTTCTGGAGGGAATTCTGTTCCTTGAAAGAATTCTGTTTCTTGAGGGAATTCTGTTTCTTGAAGGAATTCTGTTTCTTGAAAGAATTTTGTTTCTTGAAGGAATTCTGTTTCTTGAAGGTATACAGTTTCTTGAAAGAATTATGTTACTTGAGGGAATTCTTTTTCTTGAAAGAAATTCTGGTTTTTGAAGTTATTTTGTTGTCTTGAAGAATTTCTTTTTCTTGAAGGAATTTGGTTTCTCCAGGGGATTCTCTTTCTTGAAAAAATTCTGTTTATTTTTAGGGAATTCTGTTTCATGAAGAATTTCTGTTTCTTGAATCAATTCTGTTGTCTTGTTGATAGTGTCAATAAAACTCCACACAAATTAATAACTTTTCAGAGAATCTTCGCCGAATTAAAGATAGCAGTTTCCTGAAGCTATACAATCTTTCTCTCAGTTTCCTAGTTGGACAATGAGTCATAGAAAATCTTAACGCCCCTTCCCTGTACCTTGTGTATAAATTATGCATGTATATAAATTATGTATGTATATAAATTATATATGTATATAAATATTGCCATGTTAATTATTCTTCACGACTTAAAAGTTGAAATTGCGAGATGTAACTGCAAGTTCAAGGTTATTAGTTCTTCGTCTCGCACTTCTTGCCTGTGGAAATTTTCTTCTGATTTTATGATTTCCTTTCAACAATGATCTTCAAAAATTTAAATGCAACGTTATTCGTCGACGTCATATATTTTTTTTAATCCTGTCTGCATAGCGTTTTATCATTTTCATTTTTCACTTTCGATAACCGCGTGAGTCTTAGTGGCTTTATTGCCTTGCATGGGTTAAAATGACTAAAAAGAGAAGTTTTTGTCAAAACTTCGGTAAATTTTACAGTATCCTCCCAGATAGTTTCTGCATTTGGAGATAAGAAGAGATTGGAAAGAAAGAAAGAAAGAAAGAAAGAAAGAAAGAAAGAAAGAAAGAAAGAAAGATAGGAAACATGAAAGAAAATGAGAAAGAGATGAATAGAAGAGAGAAAGACGTAAAGAAAAAAGAAAGAAAGAAAGAAAACATAAGAAAGAAAAAGAGATGGAGAGACAAACGAAAGAAAGAAAGAAAAAGAAAGAAAGAAAGAAGATATAAGAAAGAAAATGAGAAAAAGGCTATGGAAGAAAGAAAGAAAATTAGCAAGAAAGAACGAAGAAAAAAGAAAGTAAGAAAGAAAGAAAGAAAATATAAGAAAGAAAAAGAGAAAGAAAGAAATAAAGTAGTAAAAAAGTAAAAAAGTAAGGAACAAAGCATAAGAAAGAAAGAAAGAAGGAAAGAAAGAAAGAAGGAAAGTAAGAAAGAAAACACAAGAAAGAATAAGAGAGAGGAAAAAAAGAAAGAAAGAACAAAAAAAGAAATAGAGAAAGTAAGGAAGAAAGAGAGTGAGAGAAAAACGGAAAGAGAGGGAGAGAGAGAAAGAGAGACTTATTGGGAGAGACCTGAAGCGGAGCTGGTCTGAGGCAAGAGAATAAGAATTTCTTCAAAGGCAGATAAATTACAAATGGCAAACGACACAAACATCGAAATAGACGCGCGCATCTTTCTCCATTTATTGCCAAGTATCGTTCCATTTGGAAATAGAGATGTGAAAGTAGGCATTAGAACAGATTGATTAGTGCATATCTAGCCATCCATCTATCTATTTATTTATCTAACTTCCTATCTATCAAAAGAAGCAAAGGTCTTCTGATCGATCAGGCGTGGGATAATTTGAACCTGAAAAGAGACACAACGCAATATATATATATGTGTGTGTGTGTCTGTGTGTGTGTGCGTGTGTGTGTGTTTGTTTGTGTGTGTGCATGCATGCGTGCGTGCGCGATCGCGCGTTTATGTATGCATATGAACATATATAAATGTGTCGATAGGTATGTGTACATATATAAATATGTCGATAGGTGCGTGCACAGGATTAAATACACAGTTATAGGCACACATATAAAAGCAGATATCAAGAAACATACATAAAGATACGACATGGTGTAATGGTTAGCAAACTTGTCTTACAAGACCAATTACGACTGAGTAATGTGTTCGATCCTCATTGGGTACTCCACAATTATTTCGGCCTTGTGCCACCATTAAACTATGCTTAGAAAATCACCATAGGTATACGAATATGTTTGGAGGCCAAAAACACAATTCTTAAAATGATTATATATATATATATATATATATATATATATATATATATATATATGTGTGTGTGTGTGTGTGTGGATGGGATGGGTTGTTTGTGTTTGTGTGTGTGTTTATATACATTTATAAATAAGTCGATAAGTGCATAATCATAAGCGCGCGTGCGGAAAGTGATATAAACACACATGCACAAGCGCTTATCGCCATACACAAGCAAGTTCATCGGCTAAAAAATAAAAAATTATTTCGTAAAAATATTTTTATGTTAAAAATATATCCCCACTCCTTGTTGAAGCAGTTAATTCAGTGTCAGGTTACAAAATTATTGATTCCCATTCAAACACATATCCATACACGCAACGTTTGTAATGGTTAGCAAGCTTGTCACGCTAAATCATTTTTTACAGTAATCTTCACCCCTTATAGCGATCGGGAACCACTTGAGGTCGATTGTTCCTTTAGGGGGCAATTTATGCGGATGCGACGGGAAGATAACGGTTAGGCCTCGCCTTGAACAGGTTAAGATTGCAGTGATTGGTGAAACATCGTGTTGGCAATCGGTTCCACATCGGTTCACGGGAAGAAGCTGTTTGAGTGGAACTTAACATCTCTCTGATGAAATACGGAAGGAAGATGGCTGATTTGCTACAATGTGAGTGGCAAGGTTGGTTCTAAACGTGAATGTTTCAATTGGCGGTACCACGGAATACGACTGAATAATGAATTCGATCCTCACTGGGTGCCCCATACATTCGGCCTTATGCCACATCTATCCTACACTTACAAAATCACTTGTGTCGTTTTTAATCAAATTTATCAAGTAGAGTCTATGCAGTTTTCAATATGTACTTTTTCAATGTACTTTTTTCCGTACTTTTTCAATGTACTTTTCAATCATTTCAGCGTACCTTTTCAATGTACAGCGTTTTCAATGTACTTTTTCAGCGTACTTTTCAATGTACTTTTTCAGCGTACTTTTTCAATGTACTTTTTCAGCGTACTTTTTCAATGTACTTTTTCAGCGTACTTTTTCAATGTACTTTTTCAGCGTACCTTTTCAATGTACTTTTTCAGCGTTGAATTCTTCAAATTTTCTTTCCTCCCGCTATGTTCCAAAACTTCAAATCTTTCTTTTATTTATTTATTAATTTATATCGTAATTTTCTATCTGTCTATATTTCTGAGATGAGGTATTGACATTATATACATTGTTCGGACTGATATTCTCATCCTTGTCGCCATATTAGCAACGTTTCGGCCGTTGTACGATCCGGCTTCCTTAAGGTGATTGGAATTTCAAACTGAACCCTTTATTTTTGTCCACCAGGGTAGATTGTTCTAGTTCCACCTGTCATTCCAGATATCTCAGTTACCTCCCTTTAACTCAACTCTCTAAGTTTTTGCTTCCAACTGCATGGTAAACAGAAAAGCCAGGTATTGAACTCGCAACACTTTACGTCAAGTCACTGGATCCAACTACTGCTTTTAAACACGGAGGCATCAATGTATGAATTTTAAGGACTTATAAACCTAATGTCTCAGTAACAATTTTTTTAGTAGCAATTTTATTTTTTTACCAGAGCTCATATTACATTTTTTTTGTTATTGATTTACTCTAACCTTCTGTATTAATGGTTCCCATATTGTATTCATTTCTATGCCTGGCCAGCTTTGGAAATGTTTGTGAACTATGTGTTGATTCATACTTGGACACCATACTTGGACATCATTGCCCGAATCGAGGAAATAGCCTCAGGCTCGGGTGGATGAGTTAAAATAGAAAGTGTCATACCTGAACGTACCTATTCTATTATTAATAGACTCTCCCACACATAATAAGTAGTAGTAGTAGTAGTAGCGGTCGCCAGTTGAGATCAGTGGTGTTGAGTGAGTCAGAGTCAGACGATGTGGGACAATGATGTATCAACCATCACAACTAGATTGCTGCGTCATTAACTCTTATTTCAAGTTCCAAACGTTTTGTACGTCGAACCTAATTTCAGACGATTTAGTGAAATACAAGCCTCCACTGTGAAAAACTACTCTACAAAAGAAAGTGAGGCAGATACTGTTGAAAGGTAAGCCGTCATTATCAAACATCTTAAAACTGGAGAAGCTGGCAATCAGAACATTACAGAGGAAAGAAAACATCATCATAATCCCAGGTGACAAAGACAATGCGACTATAGTGATGAACAAATCGGAATTTGTGAAAGTTATCTAATGCATTAGTCGTACACAGAAATAAATTCCACCCCAATTTGGATATAAAATATGCCGCACTCATCAAAAGAAAAATTAATTTACACATACGAATATCTGTCAATAGAACCGAATCTTAGTAAAATATACATTTTTTTAAAAAGTTTTTCTTTGTCTCCACCTAGTATTTCTGAGTCTGTATTTGTGGAGTTGATGAAATTTGTCACGTCGTCTGTCTAATTCAGTTTTAACAATACCATGTTTCAACAGATTGACGGGATTGCTATGGGTTCTCCTTTGGGTCCGGCACTTGCCAATATTTTTGTGGGCTTTCACGAAGAAAGAATACGTAGGAATATACTGCGTCCTCAACAGAATTATCGTTATTTTGACGATACTTTTGTTTATTCAATAATGTAGTTGAGGTCGATCAGTTTCTCTCTTTTCTAAATGGAATCCATCCAGCGCTGAGTTTTATGGTCGAGAAGGAAACCAATTTTCAACTTGCCTTCATGGATGTCTTTTTCTCACTTCGGTTTATAGGAAACCAACATTTGCGGGATTATATACGCGTTGGGATTCCTTTGTCCTAGAAAACGTAAGATAAACATAATTAGAACCCTAGTTCATAGGGCATAAATGCAGGTTGAGTATTTAAAAATATTAATAATAAAAAATATAAATTAAGTTACCCCCCCACCATTAAATATTCTTAACAGTTAATTTTTAAATTGACTTTAACGGAGCGCGTTGCATGCGCATTTACAAAATAATTCCCAACTATTAATTACATTAATTGTTGTCTCAGCAGTTCACCCCTGAATATGATCATGGATGAGATTGAAAGTATTTGGGAAAATACAAGAAACAACCAAAACTATGGCGTCTTTCTTAATCAGTTTTATAACAGCACTAAGAAATTGATCCGTGAATTTGTGAACATTAAAATAAAAATAGACATAATATATCTAGATTATTCAACCAAAATGTTTGAATGAGGATATGCTGTCTCTCTCTCTCTCTCTCTCTCTCTCTCTCTCTATATATATATATATATATATATATATATATATATATATATATATATATATATATATATATATATATATATATATATATATATATATATATATATATATATATACCCAAGTTAGATGTCTCGTGGTCGTCGCTGAGGACAGCATCTCACCAAATTCCCGAATCCTTTCGAAATATTACCGAAAATCCCAGCAACACTGTTACTAATAAAGTCGCAAAACTGCTCGGATTTTCGAGTCAACAAATTTTGATTCCAGTGTTTTGGGGACAATTTAAACTTCTTATTGTATATCTTCTGCAGCTAACGCACGAACTCAGAGAATCCTGTTTCTTCACATGACTTGGTGATCACATCGTCTTCTGCCAGCACAGGTAAGCGCACATTGCTTAGTGAATGTGACAAATACATAATAATTAGCGAATATAAGACAAGTCCTTTGATTACGCCAACCATGACTCTTTTAATCAATGTAGTAGTAGTAGTAGGAATACGAATCATATTTCCTGTCGATGTCTTCATCTTTGTTGTTAGAGCTCACTCTTCTTATCATTAGTGGTGGACTGGGTCTAAAAATATTGGTTGCCAGGAAATAAAGCGGGCCCACCCAAAACTAAAATGCTATCATTTAATTTTCATAATGAATAAATAAAACTTTCAAAAGATACGTATGGAGAAAAAAGGTACAATCATTTTTTGGGGTGGAAAAATATGTATTTCTTAGTAATTACAGTGTACATTTGCTGTTCGTATTACTGGCAGTAGATAGCAAATGTAAGTATAGAAAATTATAATTGAATTTTTTATGTATGTTTTTTTTTTTATTTTAAGTAATTGGTTGATATTTTTAAATAATGTGCTGTCCTATTTACACATTAAGAGAAAACTGAAAAGCTCAATAGAGCATTACATGCAGTCCGCTATATTGAGAGATAGTTGAGTCCATTGCACGCTCCGCTATATTGAGATAGTTGAAAAGCTCAATATTGCATGCAGTCCGCTATATTGAGATAGTTGAAAAGCTCAATAGAGCATTGCACGCAGTCCGCTATATTGAGAGATAGTTGAAAAGCTCAATAGAGCATTACATGCAGTCCGCTATATTGAGATAGTTGAAAAGCTCAATAGAGCATTGCATGCAGTCCGCTATATTGAGAGATAGTTGAAAAGCTCAATAGAGCATTGCACGCAGTCCGCTATATTGAGAGATAGTTGAAAAGCTCAATAGAGCATTGCACGCAGTCCGCTATATTGAGAGATAGTTGAAAAGCTCAATAGAGCATTGAAAAGCTCAATAGAGCATTGCACGCAGTCCGCTATATTGAGAGATAGTCCGCTATATTGAAAAGTTGAAAAGCTCAATAGAGCATTGCACGCAGTCCGCATTGCACGCAGTCCGCTATATTGAGAGATAGTTGAAAAGCTCAATAGAGCATTGCACGCAGTCCGCTATATTGAGAAAGATAGTTGAAAAGAGATTTGAAAAGCTCAATAGAGCATTGCACGCAGTCCGCTATATTGAGAGATAGTTGAAAAGCTCAATAGAGCATTGCATGCAGTCCGCTATATTGAGAGATTTGAAAAGCTCAATAGAGCATTGCACGCAGTCCGCTATATTGAGAGATAGTTGAAAAAGCTCAATAGAGCATTGCACGCAGTCCGCTATATTGAGATAGTTGAAAAGCTCAATAGAGCATTGCACGCAGTCCGCTATATTGAGAGATAGTTGAAAAGCTCAATAGAGCATTGCACGCAGTCCGCTATATTGAGAGATAGTTGAAAAGCTCAATAGAGCATTGCACGCAGTCCGCTATATTGAGAGATAGTTGAAAAGCTCAATAGAGCATTGCACGCAGTCCGCTATATTGAGAGATAGTTGAAAAGCTCAATAGAGCATTGCACGCAGTCCGCTATATTGAGAGATAGTTGAAAAGCTCAATAGAGCATTGCACGCAGTCCGCTATATTGAGAGATAGTTGAAAAGCTCAATAGAGCATTGCATGCTGTCCGCTATATTAAGAGCAATCGTTTGGGTTCATTAGATGATTAGCACGAATCCGCCAATAATTGCTTTCTGCTTCCAAATCATCTAACAGTTCATTTTCAATGTATAGCAACATGTGTGATTCCAAATTCTCGCCAGATAGCGAATTTCTTAGTCTTGTTTTCATATTTGGAAAGTGTCATCTCACATTGGACTCGAGTAACTAATAGTCTGCAGATGTCTCCATAAAGTTCTTATTTCTTTTTATTACTAAAACAATTGTCAGTGTTTGTTCCTTTATTGTAGTTTTATTTGAGAGGCCACACCATCAGGGGCCTACTTGAGATCAGGCAAGCTGACAAACTGTACAGTTTACCACTAATGATTCTAATAGTGTGTTTATGATCAAATCCCAATCGTTTAATTCAATGTGGATCATGAGTCATGTTCTTAAATCGCTTCATCAGATCGAGACTTTGATACGATGTCATTCTTGGCGCCAAACCCGTTCAGAAATATATAAACTCAGGTTTATACAATTGCTTTCTCATATCAATGATTAAAAATGGCTTCCAGTTAGGACCATCGTTCTTTGAATCTAGTTGACTGACGCGACAAAATCACTTATTCTTGCAATATTTATGTTGCGTAGAAAGACTAACCTTCTCTACCCTATTATTGAAACATGGACTCATCCATCCGCTATGAGTGGAACGTCTGCTCATAGAACAATTAAGATTGTCCGAAACTGCCAATAATTGCTTCTGTATCAAATTCATCTAACAATTCCTTTGCAATGAATTTGCAACGTATGATTCCAAATTCTCCTCATGACAGTGAAATTCTTAACCTTGTCTTTATGATCTTTCTCTTTGAAAATGTCTTCTCACATTAAACTTGAGGAACTGATAGTCTTCGGAACTTTCATATCAATGTTATGCTTGGTGCCACACTCATCCGGAAAGAAATAAACGCTGCTCTATATAATCGCTTTCTTTATAGATTAATGGTATTTATGAATTAAATTATTTAATGAATTTCTTTTGATCTCGCCATGAATTATCGCAGAGAACAAGTAAATCTCTTCAAATCACTATCGGCGATTATGCGAACATTGTTAAAAGTTGTTCGAAAAGAATTATTTGGAAAAAAATTATTCGAATTGTAAATTGTTTGAATAAAAATTAATAGAAAAGACAATTATATTAAATGATAATTATTCTAAATGTTGCAGTTTTTTGTATATATTATGTAACTAGTGAGCTAGCCCAAATGACTTGACTCACTTTATAGTCCACCAATAGAAGGTTAACCAATCAGAAGACGTAGAATATTCAATCCGTCGTGTATAAAGGCGGCCATTTTGTTTACTCTATCCGAATGTTCAGTCCAGCTTGTCAGGCGAAGAGGAACAGAAGGAAGTACTACGCTCTGCTACTTTTACCAAAATATCCACTGCTAACCTGAACAATGCTTTCCTACTGTCTTCGAAATATTCACTGCTAACCTCTGGATTCTATACTCGAAGACGACCGTCATGATGAATAACACTAAATACCTATATTTGAAATACGTATGTGGTCTTTCTTTGAGAGAGTCGGTGCTGATTTACGTAGAACTAATAACGTCCTTGAAGAATGGCATAAGACATTTAGCAGCAAGTTTCATCCTATCATCCCGCAATATGGAAATTCTTAGACGCTCTTAAAGGAGAACAGGAGTCGCAAAAGTAAGGTCAGGTTGCCAAAAGCGCCAAGAAATACCGTGACATAAATGGAAAACTTGAAACAAAAATAGTTGCATACTTTAAAGACTACTGTATAAACTTACCAACCCAATCCAAATACACAATGATTGAGAATGACATGCTCACTCGAAGTCGACAGGCTCCATTTCGACCTTATTGGGACTGAAAGCTTAAATTCAGCTATGGATGAAAAGCTTTTGTCACACATCCGATTCGTTACGGCAAAGGGCTTGCACAAGGAAGCTTGCACTGGCAGACCTTTCATTCCACACGCCAGGCGGAAGGTGAGTCACTCATTTTTATTTTAGTAAGGCTACGAGCTCAAGCCAAATTTTGCTCGTTCATAGTTGATTGACACAACACGTTAGGCTTCGGTCAGTGAGACAACTACTCGTGTGACGTGATAGCTGGGAAGATGATTACGGGACTCGCCAATAGGAAACACCAAAGTCGAGTTTTGGCCGAGGCTGCTAACCTCATCACAGCTTGGAAACAACGAACAAGTAAGCTGCACGATGACTAAATGACGTTAGCTAGTCAACCTCGTCCTACTTACAGATATCTGGTGACGAGCGCCATACGCTTCGATAACCCCGAAGAACTAACGTACACGCTTCTTCGCCGAATAAGAATCCTTGTGTGGGTTGCAGAAATACATTCCATCCAGGCGGATAAATTAGCAAGGAATGTCGCCCAGCAGTAAACTGGTATGTCATGGGTATGAGAGAAATTTACTAAAAGTGAACTACGAACAAATCAACAAGGCATGGGTCATTCACTTTCTGAAACACTAGTCTGAACGTTACAAGCAGTATCTGCTATGCTGGAAAATTAATACGAAGCCGCAGCAGCAAAGAGGCTTTGAGGAGCGTGGAACCGCCTCTTAATTGCTGGTGTTCCCAGGTCCACCCCGACCGGGGTGGTAGCACCTGTTAGGGTCCCAGCTATGGGCAAATAGCTAACTATTACCAACAATACTTTTTTGAAAAAACGATTACCAACAATACAAATTTTGAAGGAAATATATTACCAGAAACAGATTTTTGACAAAACAAAATATTACTAGCAATAAAAAATTTTGTCAGCATTAAATGACCCACTGAGGTTGATATGCCGTTAAACAAAATAAACCAAACCAATCTAAACCAAAGAATACATATTCTATTCATACGAATCTATCCTAAAAATGTTGTCGGCATTAAATAACCTATTGAAGTTGATATACCGTAAAGCAATATAAACCAAACCAATCTAAACCAAAGAATACATATTCTATTCATACGAATCTATCCTAAAAATGTTGTCGGCATTAAAAAACCCATTGAAGTTGATATACCGTAAAACAAAATAAACCAAACCAATCTAAACCAATGAATGCATATTCTATTCGTACGAATCTATCCTAAAAATGTTGTCGGCATTAAATAACTCATTGAGGTTGATATACCGTAAAACAAAATAAACCAAACCAATCTAAACCAAAGAATGCATATTCTATTCGTACGAATCTATCCTAAAAATGTTGTCGGCATTAAATAACCCATTGAGGTTGATATGCCGTAAAACAAAATAAACCAAACCAATCTAAACCAAAGAATACATATTCTATTCATACGAATCTATCCTAAAAATGTTGCCGGCATTAAATAACCTATTGAGATTGATATACTGTAAAACAAAATAAACCAAACCAATCTAAACCAAAGAATACATATTCTATTCATACGAATCTATCCTAAAAATGTTGTCGGCATTAAATAACCCATTGAG